CCCCCATCCCATCACCCCGCCCCCAGTGACCTCACACTGCTGCAGGTTCCACCCCCATCCCATCACCCCGTCCCTTGAGTCTTGAATTTCTGAGTTCTCTCCATCACTCACATACACACACACACACACACACACACACTCTGACTGCACTTCATGGGCTGTGTCATTCCCCTCCCCTCTTTGCCCCAACAGCTGCATCACAAGGCGCGTCTGACCAAGGAGGTGGGATTGATTGATTTGACTTCTGCTCATCGCAGAGTGAGCCCAGGGACCGCGTGCAGCGTGGCTGGCTGGGGGAGGACCAGCTTGACTGATACAACCAGCACCCTTCAGGAAGTGAACCTGTCGGTGATAAGCGATGAGACCTGTTACAACCAGTACCGTTACTATTACCCCTCCAGCATGCTGTGTGCAGGGGACCCTGATGACCAGAAGTCAGTTTATTCTGTAAGTGGCTGATTGGCTTGGGCTCCTGCTGCTGGTTGTCCTTTCTCAGCCACATTGTGGGGTCAGCCGGGGCTCACAGGGGCCTGGCAAGAGAAGTGGGACCTGAACCCTGCTGATTATCTAGCCCTAAATGACTAGACCATGGTAACATGCCTAGCCTACTGCAGAGCCTTCCACTGACACCTTCACCTCCTTATTGTCACACATTGGCCAGGGGTATCATGCAGCCCCTCCATACCTAATTCACACACCATGGGAGTATGGAAAGAATGACACAGGGTGGCAGGGTCCAAATAACGACATTCATTAATCACGCACAACCCATGAGGCCTGGCTCCCAGCCCACAGGTGCTCTGCTCGGGTTCCGGTAATGTAGGGGACATAGGACACTGTGAGCCCCACTGGAGGGCTCCCATGCTGTTGACAGGGACACCACCCAATTCCTGTGCACTACGGCTGGTGACAGCCCCAAGCTGGCTCTTTCAATCTTTCAAATCCCAGACGAGCCCCTCCTAGGAGTCATGGCATGGCCAGAACAGACCAGATCATCCAGTCTGAAAATCTGTAGCTCATAGGCCACCAACTCTGCCCAGCATCCGCACACTAGAACCAACAGCCAAAATGTGACCAAGGCATCACGGCCCACAGGCAGGGCTTCACTTGTAATAAAAGAGGTGTCAGGACTTAAGCAATTAGTTGCCGGAGCTCAAGCAATTTATTACATTCATACCTGATGCAGCAAGCCCAGAGGTGCCGGGGCTATGAACGGCCAAGTCTAGCGATGCGGGGGCTCAGCCCTGGCACAAATTAAGCGCTGCTCACTGGAGACCAAATTGTTGTGGTGACAGGCAGAGAACAGGAGGGATTGAGGGGCCACCAATGCCCGAGACCCCACAGTGGCAGGAAATGGATTAAGAGAGATGTGCCCAGGTGGTTGCAACAGGTGACTCATGCCCCAGAGGAAGGTGACCCCCCCAAGGTCCCCACCACTCTGACCTGGGGGGAAGATTCCTTCCCAGCCCACAACGTGTCGATCACTCAGACCCTGGCCCTGTGAGCAAGCTCCTGAAAGGAAGAATCCTCTCGATCACCTCAGAGCACCATCCAGCGTCCAATCCTCAGCCCTGGCCACTTCGGAGGCTTCAGATCAACCCCCACCACCTACACCACTTTTATACTTTCAGCCCAAGCACATGGAAAGTTACTGGCAAAAGATGGAGTCTTAGGTCACAAGTCCTTATCCTATGTCCTTACATGCCTTGCTGAGTCACTGGGACTCCATTGTCCATATGCCCTTTCGGGAGCCCTCTGAAGGGGTCTCTTGATATCCTTAATGGGCCATCAACACATGGCTGGCTAGTCCTGATGTAAATCTGCCTGGTGGGTGT